CCCCAAAACCCCAAAACCCCGCTAAGAATTATGTCTAACCAATGAAAGCAAATTGAAAAGTATTTATAAAACTAAGCAAATTTATAATCATTAAATAATTTTACCATGTATTTGTTTACTGCAAGATACAGAAACTAAGTGCAAAGCATTATAGTACACAAAGATCTCAAAGTCCACGAGTTTCTCGAAGCTCTATCCTACAGTCTTTAACTTCCTGACGGTGTAATCGTTGGCTTCTAAGACAGAAGTGGTAAGTTACCTAATATTTATACATTCTGAATTTTCTGCTTTTTTAAAACAACCAACTAAGATGCATGTTTGTAGGTTTGATTGTTACACCATCATTTATTTGCCTAAACCCATAAGAGATAAAGAACGAGCAGTATGATGTAATGCTTAAGAGTTAAAACTAAAGCTTTGTCTCACAGCAGAGTATCGGTTAAGCATTCTCTTAAGGACATTAAAATCTTTCGAATAGTCAGACTAGTACTCTTTTATTAGATACTAGCGGCTAACAGCATTAAATAATTCCTAACCGTTAATAGCAAACTAGCTCATTTTATGACAACTTCTCACAACATCAGTAGTAACCTCCTCTCTATGGTGGGATTTTGCCAACTCACAATAACAGCCATTAGCACTCAAGAACTTATGGCTAGAGTGCAGGCAACTCAATGTAAAATGAAAGGACCGTGCTAATGGGAGCCAGTAATAGCTACTAATTCTCCAACATATCTAGTAACTAAACTCAAGAAGGCGATCTCATATTGTTTGTTAACTCCTTATAAACTGACACACTCTTAACAGGTATGTTTAGATAGAGTTAGATTATTATTTAGATAGTGTGAAGAGTAAGATTATTCAAAAAGCAAGGTACAGAGACTCTAGAATAATCGGCGCCTATCAGTTATACTTGGTTGATGGTGACATTGAGAGCTTCAAAGCAAGAGTGATCCACAGAGTCATTACACCCCCATCAGATTATTCCTCCTCCGCAACCACTGCCTAGTTCAACTGGACTGCAAGCAGATAAAGCACATCTGGGGGATTCAGACCTCAAACTAGAGAGCATAGTAGAATGAGAGGAGGCAATTTAGGCGGTGCATCTCAACAAGTACAATAAAACCTAACATCAAGTCATCACTCAACTCAAAACCCTCCCTAAGTCACTTAGCCTGCTGCTTAAGATAGGTACCTTCCAGTCATTCTTGAATTAGAGAACAAAGGAATGGTTGATGAGCAATGTGCCAGCCTACTAAAGACATTAGTCCTAGAGGAAAATGTAGAAGTATTTAGAGTCATCAACTCTTATATTGCAAAGAACATTAGTGATAGAGAGCTTGGATTTAAACTTGCAAGATTAGCATAAAAACTCAGCAACTATATTGAAAGACCACAATCTCCATTACCCAGGAAAAAGAATCAACTCTTAAATTACGTTAATAGTCTAGCTAGATATCATTTTAGCGATCCAGATGATGTTCAGCTTCTCAACAAACTTATTTAAGAAGAGAACGAATTTATTCTATCATGCTTTGATGTCTTTGAAAGTGACAAGGATCATGATAATCTGATTGATAGTTTAAACAGAATTCTTGAAAAATCAAAGGCAATGGGGTTACATATCAATTCAATGACTGCTTCATCATTCTACAACTAGAATCCCTGGAGATCAAACTAGCACACTCCCATTCAATAACCAAACAATCAATCCTATAGCCAAAGTAGTATTAGATAAGCTTAACCTTACATCTCTAAATGGGAAGAGAGAGGTCATCTCCAGCAGTAATAATAGCTTCAAAACAATTCAGGCTTGAATGGTCAATCACACTTTGCTAACCAAAGTAATATTGCCAGATCTTCTGAGAGACCCCATGGTGCAATTGGAGGTAGAAGAAACATGAATACAAGTTAGGCTGCTGCTCCTAGAAATCAACCACCCCCACCCACTCAGTTTTAAAACACAACTGTTCATAATGTTGCCTTAATTCCTAACTATTTCAGTTCAGGAGAGGAAGAAGGCCCTTATTTCCAATAATAGATTACTCATCAATAAATGTAGCATCACTAACTTCCTCCTCAACAGTAGAGATAGGCAAGAACAAATAACAGCTAGTAGATTAACCAACATAATTTCTATGGTTAAAGAGAATATGAAGTAAAGGAAGAGTTATCTGATGATATGTCAAGAGCTGAGATTGAAAGCCAAAGTCAAAAATAGAACAGAGGTTAACATAAAAGCAAGGCAAGAGATTAAAAAGCAGCAAGATAAGATGAGGACAGTGAATCATAGATAGTAGCATAAAACAAGAGAAATGATGATAGAAAGCAGAAAGAGAAGTCTAAGGCAAGGAATATCCCAAAGTCATCCTAGAAGAGCACAAAGGATTCCAAGAAAAAGAAGGTGGTTAGTTCTTCATCATCTGACAGTGATTCAGATGATTCAGACAAAAAGAAAACAAAATCTAAGAAAAAATCTAAGAACTAAGGAAAGTCTAAGAAAAGACACTCTTCATCTGACTCAAGCAGTGACTCCTCTTCTTCTGATTCTGATTAATCCGAAAAATACAACAAGTAAAGAGGCAAGTCAAGCAAAAGAAAGCCAACTACTCCTAAATAAAGCAAAAAGAAGTCTGATTAGAAATTAACAAAGGATGAATTAAAATCAACAAAGAAATCAAAGAAGGCAAAGGCCCCTTAAATATCTTAGCAAGAGATAGAAAACATTTTGGATGAAGAAGAAATTGAAAAGGTATTAAGACCTGAAAATTTTGCAATCCTAGCTTATCTGCTAAGTTTGAAAGATTAAGAGCTTGTAGATTCATTCATTAAGTATTCTTAAGATGACGATAGTGAGTATTTGATCAGTTCACTTGAGAGCAAAACTGAGGACACTCTTTAGTATTTACTTATGCAGAAATTCTCAAATGAGGACAATGCTAAGATTAGATCATTAAGAAGCCAAAGAAATGATGGAATAAGAAGAGCATTCAAGAAGTTTAAGAGAACTTTAGATCTTGAAAAGCTGGTGAGCAGCATTAGAAAAGTTATAGAAGAACATACTTAATCAACAGGAATCCTTTAAAATTCAGCTGAAAAAGTAAGAGTGATTAAACAGCAATCAAGAAAAGATAAGCTTGAAAGCATCTACAATATGGTCTACCATGCAGAGTTCAACAAGGAGGAAAAGGTATCTCAGGTCATTCAAAAGCAATTCCATTAAATTTAAGATCCAGAGCTACTTGACATTCTCGAAGATTACTAGAGACATAATAATTATTTGGAGCTAAAGAATCAAGTATAGGATTATCTCAAAAATTATATCAGAGACTACAAGTAGATTGAGATGGAGCCTGAACTGCCCCTGACTATTAAGGATGCCATTAATCTATTATTAATGAGAGGAGATATCGGAGTAAATGATCAAAAGATGCTTCAAGATCTTTACAAGGTGGGAGATAGGCATTTACTTGCAGCTTGGGAAGCATTCTAAGTAATTAAGAAGATGGACGACTTCGTTGACACACTTTTGATTCTGTGTGAGGTTAAAAAAGAGGAAGCAAAAAATCAATCAAAGAAGAATTAGGTCAGCTAATCTTAACCAGCAGTATCTCACCAGCAAGTGCAAAATTAGCCAACCTCACTCAAATCATTTGAATCTAATGCCATACAAAATTAAAAATAAACAATAGCTAGCTCAAATCAGAAGTCTCAAGAGTCAGTTCCATAACTTTAGCTGCAAGCACAGCCTTTTAGTTTGTTTGGCAGCAGACCACCTGTTTAGCAAACTGTTCAGAATTAAGTCCCTACGCCAAGTTATAACTAAGCCCAGCAGCCATCTTATGACTAGCATTAAAGTTCAGCAGCAGAAAAGGTTAAAGAGACTGATTAACTAGATGAAAATCTTTAGATTGAAGATAATCCCGATGATGTAAAATTATAACACCCCATTAACTTACTTTAGAGTGACAACGAGGACATTCAGTCAATTATCGAGTATCAGCACAAGATCCTTCGCAAGTATTGTATGATGGGCATGATTCAGTATGCTGACGCTCCTCTTTTCCATGATATGGTAGATCAGAGAGACTATAAGATGATCAGTATCTTCGAGGTCTTTGCAATCAATAGAAATGGAGAGGATTTCCTTGAAAATCTTGGACTCTTTGCACAATTAGTTATGGAATAAGAAGGAGTAGAAGACTAGAATCAACTGATTGATTAGAAAGCAGATGAAGTTGAGGAGATTTCACAAGAAGACGAACTTGACTTAACCAACCCTAAGATCCAAGTTCTCAATTAGGTGAGAGGATAATTGACTGAGCAAGAATTTAAGTGGGTTGTCTAGGCAGTCAATGATAATTTGAAGAATATTAACACCATCATTCAAGTCTTTACGATGATGAAAGACATGAACGACTTAGTTCACTCCATCAAGAAGCTCTACTCCAAGAGTGTGGGCTAGTGAATGAGTCAGCTCTCTTCAGTTCTCATTAGGGCTAAAAAAGTCATGAGTTATCTCTCTGATGACTCTAAATTTTGGGTTGAGTCTCTTATGATCATCAATAATGATCAGATTTTAGAGCCTAAACTTAATTTTTTTAAAATGATGACATATGCATTTTTAAGCAAAATGGGGTTTTGGGGTTTTGGGGTTTTGGGG